ACGCCTTTCTCGGCAGCGGTCCAAAGGAGACCATGAAAGGTCACCTGTCTCAAGACACGGAAGTCGGTCTCCGGTAGAACACAATGACAAGGACGAGTATCGCCACAGGTCGCGCTCCGACAGGTCTTCGCTTTCTCGGGGACGAAGAGGAATGTCGTCTTCACCCGAACCATTATAAGCTCCTGGTTGGTGGATCAAGAGGCAGAACGCAAACTTTTTTGGTCGGATTCTTATCTTCGACTTTGTATTTGTATGTGTTGTGCTTACGTCTACAAACCCTGGAGTAGTTTCTACGCCACATTTTACCATGTTTATTGAATAAATTAATAAATGTAAATTCCCGTCTCATTTTCACTGATAGCTTTGGCGTTTAAGCTGTTATTCAGTTTATCAAGCCCTTGAACCTTTACATGCGCATTTGGTACTACATTCCGACTTTGTCTGCTAAATTCAACTGGCTGCGACGTTTGCTTTACAAAACTTGGGATCCGATCCCTTTCTTTTATAAAATCTGTCTCAATTTCTAATGCTGATCTTCCTTGGTCTTATTTATTGTGCTCGTCGCTCGGCGGTCCAGGCTTTTTGGTTTTGCACACTGCCGCCACAAAACAGGTTGGGTGTGCCGAGTTGGCTGATATTCCTCTCACTAGAGCGACGTGGATCGTATTGCAGTTATAGGACATGAAATTCAATAGGTGAATGGGTCGAACTGTCCAGGTCTGCGGCCACGGATCGTCGCGCATGGAGAAGCACCATACGGGACATAATTGAGGCCGGCTAGATCAGTCATGATCGCAGCCGTAACAAGTATAAGTACTAGAGCAACGTCAAACCGAAGTGTTGTATCGGCTTCCTCATTTGAGCCCGAATTTCCCGATTTTTTTAGAGACTGGACTTGGATGTTGTGAATAGTTCGTTTCGATACAGCAGTCTCTGAGACCAACAGTTGAAATTCTCTTAGTTCGTTTCAGTTTCACGTAGAGCATGCTAGCAATACGTAATTTGTATGTGGATTATTGTTTGATATTTAATTTCCCTATCTCGCCATGTTGCCGATGACAGTCGTAACCGTGTGGGTACTGCGCCATGACATCTTACATACGGGATTTCTGACTGACAGAAATCAGTTTCGTGTGCTTGGGAGAACGAGTAGGAGGGGGGGGTATGTGAGCACTGTGAAGTCAGCCATTCACTCACGCTCTTCTCACTCGTAGTAGTTTGGTTTTATCATTAGATGACCAATAGGATGAAATAGGTGTGAGAATCGTCGCCGCTTACGCCTACTGTCCAATCCCTTCTGACGAACTGTTGAAAAGTTTTGGTTGGACCGTCACAACGAGAGAACCTGTTTCAAAAATAATTTGACTCGGATCTTCGGGGGCTGTTGACTGGATTGCTGCCCACTTGACCTTCATCTGACCAAGAAAGCGATCCGTTCTCTGCTTCCTATGTCCCTATGATCCAACCTCAGAAATCTTATTAGCGCGTCTCGATTCCTTGGCCCGACGTCGGCGCCTTCTCGTAGCTCACAGCCTTTACTGCAACAATTAGCTCGGTTCATCCTCCTTGAGTTCTCTTGCCACACTGAGCACCAGATGAGGGGGTTGCATAAGTAGGGTTACTTCATGCCCAGTTTGTGGTGAATTACTTATTAAACCAGTAGGTCATTTTGTTCGCGGTTTCAGTACGGTTTACTTCGTAACTCTTCATCTTATTGGGATGACCTTTGTGTTTTGTACGACATGGGGCTAAAAATGATGCGAACTTAATGGAGAGTCTATAAATCTAAATCAAGAAAGGTGAGAGCATTAACCAACGGGGTATGAGCGGCTGGGAGAGTTATTGCTGTTGTGCTTATCATCCGTTTGCTCGACTTTCCAAAGCTCTGACCGCGCTTTTGACTTGCATTATTTAAGGGCACATTTTGCACTAGATTGAAGTACCACTTCCACTGTCTGTATTTATGAAAGCGGGATAATGTTGCAACTTGATAAGAAAATAGAGGCGCTTATTTCTGCTGGCCCCATCATTAACACTAACAGCTCACAGCTCATCTCAGCAAATGACTAACGAAGATATGCTGGTAGATCTGAATGTCACTAGGTCTCATTTGCTCAGTTACGGCTGTAGACGATACTGACCCGTATGTTTGTTTGATGAGGTTATGCGTCTTGCTGCAATCGGTCCTGTATCAATATTGCTTGCTCTTATTGATGTATCATTTACCGTTTGCACGACTGACTAGATTTTGAAAGTAAAGAAGTTCCCCCATGTTATGCTGCCAATACTTGACAAAACACGTATCTCCAAGAAATAGAGCGAGCCATCGCCTAAGTACCGTACGACAGAGGAACGGTATTTTCGACGGGGCATCGGACTCTGCTTGCAACCACCTCTGAAATAGATAGTAAAGATTGTGACCTCTCGGGTATCGCAGCTTGTCCGTTCTTGAATTCGATCTTATGCCACCTTTTGGAGACTTCAGATCGCTTCTTAAGTACTTCGTCCTTCCGAATTTCGACAAGCCTTATGGTAACTGGATGTGTGGACCATAAGGCATTATGGGCCACCTCACTCCCATTGTGGTTTAGGCTAACTTTATTGATTAGGCTAATTTCAGCCTTCGTGCAATATCTGTCATAAAGAGGATAACTAGTATCGCTGAATCGGAATGCTGGAGTTTCTCATTCATGCCCAATCTTCGACCCCTTACTTTTCCTATTTTAGGTAGAAAGGATATTGCAGTCAATTCTCCCCCAAAACACCAGACATTGACTGAAATGGATAACCTCCATGCTATTCAGAAACAGCTGGAGTTCTACTTCAGTGACGCTAACTTATCGCGCGACGGTTTCTTCAAGTCGCAAGTGCAAAACAGTGCAGATCGGTCCCTCAGCATTGAGCTCTTGCTGAACTGCAATCGCCTACGCCTGCTTGGTGCCACAGCGG